ATATTAAAGCTAATTAACCCTTTTCAAAGGCATTTTGTCCCAGGTTTTTATTTAATGGTTCAGTGCTGCTTAAAGCATGGATCAAGCTGGATAAGCTCCATTTAAAAAATGGCCCATTTTGAAAACAGTTTAGCAGTTCACTCTGAAGAATATATTTATCAAGATAAACCTGACTTTTTCAACTGTATAAATAACTGACCGGAGTTCCTTAAAAAGATCAGGTAATAAAATAGAGATTAAGGACAACAGACAAACCTGTCCATTTAGCAATGGTCTAACATGATAGTAACTGATTTGGTTTATTGATTTTTAAAAATATTTATCCTTAGAAATATTCTCGGTCTTTACTTTGGAGGCTGTTCCTAAGGGCAGGGGGAGCGAGACTCCATTTAAGATATTTCATCCCAGGCCATATGTGAAATGCAAATCTATGATTTGTCCTTTTTGGAAGAAGCCATGATTTTTTAATAGTGTTCAAACACATAGTGCAAAGCACACACCTTTCAGGACATAAATGACTACTTTGACATATGAAACCCAATGAAAATTATATACATTATTTAAGGATTTCGGTACTCTTCCCCTTTTGTTATACTAGCAAATCACAGAGTGTATTTTAATATAAAGCTATTTTTTTAGTTATAAGATAGATGATATATTTTGTACATGAATTAAATTCTTCACGGTGCCAGAGGAATTAATTTGTGATGTTATGAAATTTTGATAAGCCTGCTGTAAAATCAGAATTGTTTACCACAAGTGTCTGGATTCTGACTCTTACAGTCTTTCCAAACAAATAATGAAATGAATTGGGGTGTGGGGGGGAGACAGGGTAATTTATGAAAACATGGTACACCATAATTTTGCCATTTTTCTGCAATAAGGATGGCAAATGATTCATGGGATAAAATGAAATATTTCTCACTGTCATTTCAATGGATCTAAGATTTACAGCTTCTTAACTTGGATAGGAAAAACTCAAGATGCATAAAAATGAATTGTAAATCCATTAATGGTGAGAATGGAAAACAAAAAGAAGAAATTATTTCAAGCAAAGAAGAGCAAATCTACTGGGCAACAAACGAAAAGGAAGCGTCAGCAGCTGTTTACTCTAAGACCCTTGAAGGAAGGAGGTAGTGAAGAGGGGACTGCTTGCTCTGAAGAGGCCATTAAGGTCAGGTTCAAGAAAAGTGATATGTTGATCAAGCTCATTACGTTTAGATCACTTAGACAAACAGAGGAAGGTAGACTTTAAAGCAAAATCAGATATGCCGAAGTGGAATTTTTAAGAGATTATGAAAACGTCAGACCGAGTTTTAGAAGGTTAAAATGAGTAAAGAAATCCTGGGACTAAGAAAAAGCAGCTTTCCTGATTCAAGACTGTCCTCAACCCAAACTGCGTTCTACAGGCCTTAGGGCCAAAAAAAGGAAAACGTTTTTTTTACACCTCCCCGCTCCTTGAGACATCACAGTGAAGAAAAGCTAGCAGCAGCAACAGAGAAGTGAAGCTGGGCTCTACGGGAGCCGCCGTACCTGGAAAATGAGACCAGAGACACTGCTTAAGACAACAGATAACGGGCTGGAAGGCTCAGAATTCGCTGAAACCAGAAGGGGCAAGTGCCACGCTCTCACAGTAGCCATGGTGGGTGCCATGACACTCAAGCCTCCCTTCTCTTTGCTGAAATGTGAGACACTCTCCACGACTACAGGTTACATACCTTAACCTCCACGGTTTCAAGCGACTCTGACACGAATACGGGGAACTCACAGGGGAACTGGTGGTAGGGTTTACTGGTTTACTGAACAATGCCATTTAGTGCCAAATGAGGAGAAGGAACATGGCCCCGATCATTTTGCTCAAGCGGTATCTTGCTTAGATCAGATGAATCTTGGGATTCTGGATCAGAGATTTAACGAAATGCGAAGGTAGTTCTTGACTTTTTGCCAAGGGTCCCAAACCGTCTTAGCCCTGGATCTTGCAGGACTATCTCGCTCACACAGAGCTCACACAGCTGACGTTTCGAGTGTGCATTTCATGAGTTTGATAGCCGGATGCCTCAAGTACAAAATATAGGCACAAAAGGCTCATCAACGCCATTTCCTCTACAGAAATTCTCTCCTTTTAAGGGTGCCACATCAATTGGAAACTTATGTTTCCTTCCTTTGTAAGTCAAAAGGCATCAGATGAAGTCCGACATGGTGATAATGTAGTGTTGCCAAAGATTGCGAATACGGATGTTAGTATCTATTTCCCTTTCTTTGATTTACCATACATTTTATACATTTTGAAAAATGGGAGCCAGGGATTTGGACAAATTTTATGTTGACAAATTTTAAAGTGCTATAAAATTGGATAAGCTAGCTCACTGGATGACGTTTTGAGCGGCAATATATTTTTCTCCAGGCACTGAACAAACAGCTCCTTGTTGCAAGTCTGTCCCGGAGTCATCGCTTTGCGGGATTCTATACAATTTCAAAGAACCTTCAGAAACTCACACAGGCCTTTGAGCATGTAAAACCAGGAGGCCGCACATCTAAACCACAAATGGAGAACGCGCTCCATATACATGTGTAAATCAAAACCTATAAGATAACACGGACATTATAAAATTTGTGTTAAAACTGATAACAGCTTTACTGATTTACTGACAATGAAAATATATAGCATTTTTTCTGTCAGAGCATTTATCAACACTTGGCAACCCTGCACTAACTTGACATGTAAGATGATCAAAATGGATTATGTAATCTTTCCCATTCATTTCTATTGATTTTAGTTATGATAAAATTCATCAGTGTGCCTGGGAACACTCAGGCTGAAAAGCTCTGGTTGACCAAGTGTGGGGGGAGGGAAGGTGGAGGAAAGAAAAAAAAAAAAAAAGAATTCAACAGAGTTGTAACGGGATGAATATAATTTTAGAACAGGATTGCACAAATACAGAAGTCGTGCCCTAAAGGCTCCAGCAACAGATTAATACAAATAATTCTGGCAGTCTCATAAAATTACATTTGTCTATGCAGAGATTCACTTTTGAGATGAAAATTACAAAATTCCAAGCCAGAAGAATTAATGGGTAAGTGCCATTTAAAAAAAAAAAAAAAAAGTTGCTGGAAATATTTTCAAACTTTTTTTAAACTTCAACAGTAATCAAAGTTATTTCTCTGACTGTAAGTAACATCAAAATGCCAGCAACTGGACCATTTTAATCAGTTTTATTGATTCGTGCTTTCAGTTCTTATTCAGTTAAAAACAAGGCACATTAAATACATCTTCTTATTGCTCTATAAATGCATGCAGCTCATTCTGTATATCAAAAGTAATAAATAATGGCGATAAAACACCAAGACAGTTATAAAAATGACAATCCAGCCTCAAACACAGTATTTAACAGTCCCATCTAGAACAATAACCCAACACATACACGAAAGGGCCACATTTAAAGGCATGCAGTGCACGTATCCACTCCAGCACCGGCTTGTACTTGAGTCTTTAAAAACACAGTAGGGCTTTTTTATTCCCTGAAAACGGTGGATATAATGCAAAACAGTGCAAGTTAGAGCGTCACTGACTTTAATGTTATTACATTCATCGGCCAAAAAATCTTTACCAATACATAAAAAAGGAAGTAAGATCGGTGATCATCCTTACAGTATGTTTAGTCAAAGTCACAATGAAATTTGTGTTGTTGTACAAGACACAAAGCCACATACTTTGGAAAAGACAAAACGAAGCTAGAAACTAAAGCAGAATAGGGAGCATGCATTTAATAGTAGAAATCCTAAAGTTGCACTTGGTATAAATTGATTGAAAGCAAGAATCTTGCAAACAGCGTGAGGGCTATGAGGCAGACAGCCTTGGCTTAACAAATAATCCAGCATGGTCACTATTGTTAGGACTGTGGTATGGGGCTATTTAAAGGAGAATCCATCTCTTCCCCACAGATGGGGGTTCCTTCACCTGAATTCCCTTAAAGGCTCTTGAAACAAATCCCTTGATGATAAAGACAATCTCTGCACCCCCCACCCCCACCCCCACAGAATCACCTAGTATCCCATACATACAAAAAGAAAAGAAAAATTCCCTTGTCTTTAGAATAGGTTTTGAAGGGGCTAATCCCTCCATTTCCTTTCCCCTTTTCTAAAATCAGGTACAGAAGCTGTACAGGTTTAATTAAGAACTCACACAAAAATGTGGGGGTGCTTTATTCACAGTAAAGACTTGGAACCAGCTCACTTCCAAGACGAGTCTCTGGGATTGGTGAAGGAGCGTATGTTTTAGAATTAGCAGATTTTCAGCAAAAGCAGAGACACTCAAAGGAAGCAAAGTGCGCTTTTCTTTGTCCTTAAAGGAACTTACTCCGAGCAAAGCGTGCACAAACCAGCCTGTTGTACACACACAGTTCTGCACAGGCCAGTCAGCCTATTAAGCCGGTCCCTACTGTAATGGGTTCAGGGTTCAGAGAGGGCACAAGTTCTCGCTATCTTGATCTAACTAGAAAGAGAGAAAGAGAGAGAGCACAAATGTACTGTATTGTGGTACGTCATCCGTGGTGCTTTAAAGGACAGCATTTTTATCAAGGGTCACCAAGTTCTAAACAGTGGAACTTATTGTCTTGATTAAAAAACAAAAACAAAAAAAAAAAACAAAAAAAAACACTAAATTACAAAGCCACATGCTTCTAATGTTTTTTTTGTTTTTGTTTTTGTTTTTTTTTTAAAGGCAGTGTAAAATGCTCCCACGTTGAAAGAAAAATGTTCACAGTGATACCTGGGAGCATCCTTGGCTCTGTTTTAGGTTTTCCTTATGGAAGTGGCAAGTCTGAACTTCATTTTAAAAAAAACAAATGAGTATTTTGAAGTGGGATGGGGGCTTAGGTTGAGTGAACGTCCAGTGTTAACATTATGACCTCCAGGCTCATACCCCACTTGAATGAGGCAGAAAGGTACATTACAATGGTCACATAAATAGAAATAACAGCACAAAGTGTTTTATGTATCAGTTTAAAAAAAAAAAAAAACAACCTAAGATCTCAAGTCTGTGCAATTAAAGCCTGCCATTAAATATAGAGTTCTATCTCCTATTACATACACAACCTGATCTTAGAAAATAAAAAGACAGGTAGTTAACCTCACAGAAGGAAGCACAGTGGGTAAAAATTCAGATCATTGGTTAAAATGCTAGTGAAGTGTTGCAAAAGCATCATACCACATTGGCCCTTTAAATTCAATGCATTATTTGTTAAATTCAATGCAGATTTATTTTTGTGTGTGTGGGGTGGGGGGTGCAGGAGGGGTCTGTGTGTGGGTATGAGTTGTGCGTGGTTTTATTTCTTTTCTTTTTCTCTGTGGTTGAGAAATTTTCCATAAAGGAGAAAGGCTTTAAGCAACTCAAATGACCTTGAGTACTGAAGCATTGTGCCTTTTTACAAATAATTATAATTAAAGTTAACTAAAGGTTACTTCGATCCTCTTTTACTCTCCATTTGAAATTACTCCCCCAAAATGATGCAATAAACTAAGCCAAATAGGCCATGTTTGACAACAGCACATGCTCCACAGTTTAGGATTTGGGGATTGAAAATCGTGCTATCGTGTGTGGATATACACACACAGATTTTAAATCTTTAACTTTATTACTGCTGTAAGGATTTGAGAAGTTTAGTCTCATCCCATTACATCCAACTTGCCACTTAAATGCTGGTTTTAAAATATGAAAAGCAAGAATCTTCCTGGCAACTATAATAGTCAAAGAAAAACCAGCAGTGACTGGAGGAAAAAAAAAAAAATGAATTGCTGAGACGAAACTATCAGTGTAATCCAGCAAATGTCAATGCTATCCTTATCGTACACCTGTGATTCTGGAAGCGTTCAGAGTTTCTCTTTGAGACTCGCTCCTGTAACCAGATCTAAACTTTGTCTTCCCTCTCCAGTTTTGCCAATCATACCCTGGATATGAAACTACACAATATTGTTTGGATTGGGAAGAAGGATCTGAGCGGTCTCCAGAAATGCTATCATTTCCATAGGTCACTCCCTGCTCAATTTCTGTTAGGAGCAAATCCTACCTACAGTCTTAACGTCCAGAGCTTTGTGCACGTCACGAAATTTTTCCAGCTTCTATTCAATTTTGGCCAAAATGCTCTGTCCTTAAGACTGACCCAGAATAAATGAAGAGACAAACAAAAAGGGGGTATGTCCAGTCTAACAGGTTACAAAATGGATGCAAAACATTAAATCGGTGAGAAACAAGATAAAATACGCTGTTCAGAAGCTAGACTGAATGGCGAAGACAAATCAACGCCCTGAAGCTTTGGAATGTTCCCCAGTGTTAACAAAGGCAGCTACCCATGGCCACTATTTTGGAGTGGTCTAAATCATCTCTGGTTGTTACAGGATGATTTGTTGTTCCTTTGTCTGTTGGCTGTGGATGTACTGCCCAGACTCACAATCCTCCACAGCTTCGGTCCACTGGAATGGGGACTCTTCTGTCGAGGTTCTCTTCTGCAGTTTTCATCAGGATCGCGAGCCGGCTTCCGGACACCCTTCCTTTCTGAATAGCACTCATCAGCTTCAAGAGAAAATAGGCAACAGGGTCAGAAGGCAGGCGTGCTTCCCCCCTTCTTCACCGCATTTTAATGGTTACCTCTGCAGCAGCTCCATCAAAAACCCATAGCGGGTGTTACAGCTCCAATAAGAAGAATACAATCTTTGAACATCTCAAAAGGCAGGAAAGGGGCAGATGTTTCAGGGCTGTGAAAACTATACCTATCTAGCCAATCAACCTGCTTTTAAAATGCAAATCAAATGCATCACTTTTTGCCCCTTTCATGTGCTCAGGGCACATATTTTTTTGGAGCCACTCAAATATTGGATCTGTAATTTCATTTAAAAATCTTAAAAAGGAATCTCAGGGATTGAACAAAGACAAATCATGACCTATATTTAACTACTCTTTTTTAGTGTTACTGTACTTGACAACTTCAAGTCCCTTAAATCCAAATTCCTTAAAGACTTTTTAAAGTAATTTACATTTAAGTCCTTGAAATGGACCCAGAAATCTACCTTAAGAATTAAAAGCACTCCACAGCCCAGATTTTAGTTAATTCATTTTTATCCAATGGATAAAATCAGAATTAGTCTTGAAATTACATGCAGTCAGCGGGCAGAGGCCTTTAATCTGGAAGGCACTTTGCAATTATGAGCAAGGGGATTTTTTTTCTTTCTTTCTCAAGTTGATGTGGTTTTAACTATTTGCTTTTCTTGATCTCACTTTCCCAATCTTTTGTATTTATTTATTTGGAAAAGAACTCAGCCATTCACCAGGAAAAATTCTCAAAATATTTTTAGGGTTATACTCTTGAGCCTACAGAGATACATTTCTTAAAAATGACTCTGAATAAGAGTCAGAGGCATCTGCCAAAGGGCTGGATCAGAATTTCATGACCTTATTAAAAGCTGTTTCACAAGCCACTGCTTATTAGAGATGGACTCCTACATGCAGGGCGTCCTTAGAGCCCAAACCTAAAAATAAAGTCATGTAACCATGCAACATCTGTAGTGATCGTTCCATGATGATTACTGAAAACACAGATCTATATTCAAATAGGTGTTTCATGGGATAAACATGGGCTCTTTATGTTCGGAAAAGAAAAATAATTTATTTTAAAAAAACACACTGAAAACATACTTTACGTCTGACAAATGGTGTAACATAAAGAATGCTGACATCTAAAGACAGAACAATTTACTGTTTATTGTTTTGTCTATGGTTCCATGAAGACCATCTAAGTTTATCGGAGCTAACAAAACTGATAGAGCTAGAGTTTTTTTTCTTGATTCATAAACAGAATATGATGTACCAACCTTTAAAAATTCAGTTTTCTTTAAACATTACAAGTATTTTGAAACCATATTATGAGGGGAAAAAACAACAACAACATTCAGGTGTGAATATATTTCATGAGAAATATGGTCAGCATTTTTTAAGTTGAAAATTACACTGTGTATTTGTACTTAGTAGAAGCATGAATAGTCTCTTTCATTTAGAAGTGGACAAGAAATAATTATTTAAAAACTCTACAAGGAAATCTGCAGATGGTTTAAATTATTTTCCATGTGTTTAATTCTATTGCACTCAAGAAAATTACTTAAAACCCAAGCCACATAGCATATCCATAAAATTAGACTCTTATTGTTTCTAAAACTCCAGATCTTTCAACCCTAAATGCTATTGTTTATTTACAACACGCATGAAATGAAGCATAAGCTATTTCTTTGAAGAAAAGTTTTCTAAAATTCTGAGACAAACAATAAAATATTCTTGAGAAAAAACTAGACCAAAAAAAAAAAAAAAATGTATTCAATGGTTTCTAATTCCCCAGCATATATTTTAAACTCCATTTCAAATGTGCACTTAAATAGTAAGCTAAAGAACTAAACATTCTTTTTTGTAATGCTGGACACAACCTGTGAAAATTTTCTGCATTTAGATTCAACAATGCTCTTATCTGCAGCTCATCTCCAGAGAGACAATTACCATTTCCTTTGCCTTGATATTGTTTGTTTAACTTGACACAGTGAAGAAAGGGCTGACATTGACCAAAATCCCCAGCATTAATTTATTTCATGTTCAGCATTCATCATTGCCAGGGTACAAGCAAGACCTGGCATTCATTTGAAATACCTGCCCCGAGAAGCACTGTGGAAAAAACCCGACCACTTGGAAACCAGTGCATTCTTCATATGAACAGAGTCCTATGCACAGATACAAATAATGTAGGGGTTTATTAAATTTCCTTCTTTTAAGGAACTTTTAAGGAATGATGCATAGCCTTCAGTTGGAAGTTAGAATAACAGAATTTGCTTTCTTCACGAATACGATTAAACAATTGAGACTTGGGGAAGTGGAACAATGGAAATAGAAATGCTTGAATTATGGGGTCTTGACCCCAAAAATACAAGTTTCCTTTCTTTTGCTTTTCAGGTTCTTCATTATGTAGGAATATAATAATTACATTGCAGGGTCTCTAGTAAATATCCTCAAATCAATACAACCAGAATTTTTTTTTTTAACATCTTTAAAAAAATTACTTTCCACATTAGAAATACGGTGTGTGCCTCTTTTGAAGCAGGTGAGAAATGGTCTGGCAGTGGTAGTCCATGGCATATTTTTCTAAAAGGCATACTTCTTATTCAGCCCTTTAAACCAGGATTAACTTGTTCATCGAAATTGCCCAATACAACAGAACGTCTTAGAAGAAGAAAACAAAACAAAACAAAACAAAGAAAAAAACAAGAAAGAAAGAAAGAGAAAAGAACATGCTCCAGGCAGAGCCTGATCCTTGAGCGCAGACCCAGGCAAACTTTGCTGGCTTCAAGCATTCTTTTTTCAGAATGACGTGACAACCGTGTGGACTTAAGAATCCATCCTGAGGGGGCGCCTGGGTGGCTCAGTGGGTTAGAGCCTCTGCCTTTGGCTCAGGTCATGATCCCAGGGTCCTGGGATGGAGCCCTGCATCAGGCTCTCTGCTTGGCAGGGAGCCTGCTTCCCCCTCTCTCTGTCTCTGCCTGCCTCTCTGCCTACTTGTGATCTCTGCCTGTCAAATAAATAAAATCTTAAAAAAAAATAAAATAAAAAAAAAGAATCCATTCTCGAACAGCCATTTACAACCAAAAGATAAAAACCAAACACACGTTTCCCCTCACCACAGCTCACCTGCAAAAACTCATTGAGTTCCACCTGTCCATTTTTGTTCAAGTCTACTTCATTCAGAATTTCATGTAGTGTATTCTCATCCATTTGGACGTTGATACTCTAAATGAAAGGAAAGCACAAAATAAGGAGGTTTAATTAAAAATGATGCATGGCCTTTTATTAAAGCTACCAACCTTTCAAAAATTACAGGAGAAAATTACTCATAGAAAGCATCAGAGGCAGAAAAAATGATCTAATCGAGTTTTTATGTTTTTTTTTTACTAACAAAGACATTGAGCTAAAAAAATCTTACCTCTAATACACGCTGAACATCAACAATGGTAATAAAGCCCTTTTGGTCTGCATCAAACTTATGAAATCTCTTCTTGTACCTGGAACACAACATTGAACATTGGAAAAACATACCTATGTAGGTCAAGTCAAAACAGAGAAATATGGAAACTTGTTAGAAGTACCTGTCGATGTCGGAAGGCCGGAGGCTAATTTCAGAGTGATCTGTTAACTGTTCTGATCGAGATTTATAGCCCATTTCATAATACAGAAACTTCCTGGCTGTTTCAAGTTCCTCCTAAAACACAAGCATACACAAAGTTCAAAGATTTATGGAACGAATTATTGATTTTTTTTCCTTTCTTACTTTTCTGACCAGCACAATTTTTTATTTCTTCCAGTTTCACCGAAGTATAATTTATATTCAATAAAATGCACCTATTTTAGATACGCAGTTTGATGTATACTCTACCACGATCAAGATATAGGACATTTCTATTACCCGAAGAAGCTTCCTCTGGCCCTTTTTCTTTTTCAGTTGATCTGCTAGGCTCAAGCCATCACTGATCTGCTTTCTGTCTCTAGAGTGTTTTTGCCTTTTCTCGAGTTTCACATAAAAGGGCCCCTATAGTACATAGTGTTTTCTGTCTGACCGCTTTCACACAGCATGATGATTTTGAGACTCATTCATGTTGTTGAGTGTTTTAATATTTGTTTCTTTTTCCTGAGGAATATTCTCACCCAGTATCATCTAGCCAAATCTAGAGAACCCAATCCTTGTGGTTTAGTGACAAATAAAGCAATTAAAGGTGACAAACAGCCACTGTGATGTAGAAGCAAAGAAACTGACAGACATCATTGGATCAGCTACCCTGAAGCTTTGTCACAAGGATGCTGAGAGTTGGGTGGGAGTGACAGAGTCAGGAGAAGAAACAAGTTCTCCGAACAGTTACTCTGGCACTTTCCACTGTCCCCAGTCCCAGCAGATAGTAACTATTGTTGAGAACACTGTCTTGGTTTTTCACAGCACTCTCCTGCTGGCTTACAGCTTACAAAAACCATCTTTTTCTTTCCTTTCTCTTTTTGGAATTTTGTACTACATTTGCCCACCTTCTGTCTTCTGGTTCTGTTCTTATTTGCCACAATATTTTAAAGCTCAACGGTAGTTAAATAATCCCATCTGCAAATTCTCTGAGTACCCAGAGATATCATTTTTCTGGGCTGGCATATAAACTCGTTTAGAGCAGCCTCCTATTTGAATATCTATTTCCTCTTACCAATATTTATTTTGCTCTTTTCACACTGAATACTGTTCTCCTTGACAAAAAAAAAAGAAGGAAAGAAATTTGGTTTTAGACTCTGAGTTGAACTGTTCTCTCTTTTCTCCAGCATTCAAGAATATGGTGCCACTCATTTTAAGCAATGATCTAGGTTAAGCCTTGCGTGAATTCTTTTCGATTTTTAAAATTTATTTTTGGGGGCACCTGGGTGGCTCAGTGGGTTAAAGCCTCTGCCTTCAGCTCAAGTCATGATCTCAGGGTCCTGGGATCGAGCCCTGCATTGGGCTCTCTGCTCCTCGGGGAGCCTGCTTCCTCTCTCTCTCTCTCTCTGCCTGCCTCTCTGCCTCCTTGTGATCTCTGCCTGTCAAATAAATAAATAAAATCTTTAAAAGAGAAAAGTTTTTAAAAAATAAATAAATAAAATAAAATTTATTTTTGGTGTCCTTAGCATTTTTTCCCCTGACACTGTTAGGGGAAACTCCTGACACGGTTCTATTCCGACATTCGCATTAGTCCAGGAACCCTTTCATTGCGGAGCACCTGTCTTCCATCTATTTTAAATATGGTGTTTATCAGCTGGCTTTGTTCTGAATCACAGTCCCGTTTCTTCACTTGCTGCCCCCTTTTCCTTCTCATAAGAATCAATTTTGAAAAAATTTCTTTTTGTGAGGCCCTCTCAATTGACTTAAGTGGTCTTCTCTTTAAAGTCTCTCAAGGAAATGTATGTATATATGAAAGTATAAAATCCACCTCACTAAACAAGATGGCAGCATTTCCCAACATTCATCTTGAGTAGTGCTCGTCTCCCTCCCTCCAGCCCTTCCAAAGAGTGAGAGGTGGGTCCATCTCTGAATAAGTTCCCTTTTGGAAACAGACAATGCACACGGGCATTTGAAAGCACCAAATCATCTGTGCTAAAGAAAAAAAAAATGGTTTCCTTTGTTGAACTCAGAGTTTCCCAAATTCTTCTGTCCATGCAGTCATCTTTTGGTTTACACCTTGCAGAGCACAATTTGGCAATGTCCCATTCTCTAAATGTCCACCAACTCCACTATCAACCCCCAGTTCCCTTAGACAATGTGTTCTTCCCTTATCAGTTCTTCCGACGTTGGATTCGATCTCTCAAGTAGCTGTTCTCTAAATCTTTCTCTCAATTTTGAAAACTGACATGCATTTCTGAGGTATATACTGGTTGTAACCACTCAATTAGATTTCAAGATCCTTGAAACTATGAGCTAGTTATTATTCCCCTAAAATATTTGGTATAATGCTCAGTATACAAGTCACTCATTAAGTATTGACTGGGAAAAACAACCACAATTCATCTACAGAGAGTTATTTATCACCTTGTTCTGCTTTCACTTTTGCAGGTTAAATAATCCCAATGCTTTTAACCTTTTCTCAGAAGTCCAGCTTTCTAACCTTTAATTCTTTTTTTTTCCTTCTCCTTTGTTCTCTCTAGACTGTCCACAGGTCTCATTAATACTCCTACAGCTCAGATACTAGCTAATAACTTGAGGTCATTTATTTCTCTTACTTTGTTGAGGGGGGAAGGGAGAATATTCTGAGCACACGAATCTACTCATAAAACTTGAACTGAATGACGTTAAATCTAGTTTCCTCAGGAGGGCCAAACACAGCCAGTTTACAGAATTTTCTTCCTCCTTCCTACCTCCTACAGCCTGAATTCCTGGCACCAGCTATCTTCCTGCATATTCAAATCTTTCCAACCATAATTTTTACAGGAACACATTATCTCCAATCTTTCTATATGGTAAAAAAAAAAAAAAAAATGATTGGCATTAGTAAAGGCACAAGTTTCATTCTTGGGTTGTCTTTGTAGGCAGCTTTAGTCCATCAAATCGAAATCGACACTGGAAGAGCTACATCCAGTCCTGCCAATGCGGGGGCAACAGGGCAAAGTGGGGAAAGCTCAGGCCCTAAAATCAGAATACCTGGCTTCAGCCCCTGTTCCACAATTTACTAGCTGTATGAACTCCGACTGGATGTACTCACTGAGCCTGTGTTCTCACCTATAAAAAGGGGGTAAAGGCTAACCAAAGGTTAACCTTGTGGTCAGGTGAAGGACCTCTTCAGCCAGTGACTCCTGCCATCAGTACACTACAAACATTGCACTAAAGTTAGGAGAAATTTAAAAATGCAGGGTCATGGTTTCAGTCCCGAAGACCCTGAATTTGATAGTCTAAAGCCAAGCCTCAAAAATCTGTTTGCTTTCCCTATATTTCAGGTGATTCTGATATGTAACCACCTTTGGGAATCTATACCAGAATGAGAATGTTTTAAGGACAGGATCTATGCTCAGGCCTTCCTTACACCTTCCATATAGGACACAGATGCTCAGTTATGTTCATTCACTCATTGACAGTTACTTATTGAGGGCCTACCATGATGGGCATGAGGTTACAGAAACAAAGCAGATCATGTCGTCTCCTTTGGAAAGCTCATTTCCTGGATGAGAGGCAGATAACAAATAAACAAACAACGGAATACATGGTATATCCAATAGGAATAGATGCCAAAGAGAAAAATAAGGTAGGGAGAGGGACAGGAAGTGAAGGGCTAGGCCATGAGGGTACCCAGGAAAGAACATTCCAGGCAGAGGGATCAGCAGGGCTTAAATAAGGAAGAGCAACTCAGCTTGTGGGGAATGAATGAATGGGAAGTCCACGGGGATCAGAAAGGTGGTGGCCAGATCCTGGAGACCTTGTAAACAAACCGCTGTCATGACTTTGGCTTCGAGTAAACCAGAGGGTGTTTCAGCAAAAGTAATTGTTCATGATCAGTCCTCATCCTACTAGTTGACCAGCATCATTTGATACAGTAGATTACTTTTCTTTTCTCGAAATATTTTCTTCCTTTCCTTCTGGGACACAACTCCTTCTTCAGTCTTTTCACCCTTTCTCCAACCTCACTAGCTATCACTTTCCCTTGCTCGGGGCGTCTTCCTTATCTACCCCACTTCCGAACTCTGGAGGGCTCCAGGACTGTGTCGGAACAACTTGCTGTTATCTCACTGCACAAACTCCCTATATGATCTCGTCCAGCCGGATGGCTTAAATACCAACAGAAATTTATATCTTTCGTTCAGACCTCCCCTCTGAACTTCATTTGGACTGACATATCCAAAGATCCGGGTTTATGTTTTCATAGAATCGCTAAGTTGTTAAAGGAAGAATACTGCCCTGTGGGAGGGAAGCTTTTATAATAAACGGTGGAAGAAATGCTGGTAGCTGAAAGCAGATGACAGCAGCTGACTGTGTTAAGAAGGGGTTGAATTCAATTGACGATAAATATGATACAGTTTGTGGATGGATTCAGATCAGGTATGATACTGAGATTTAGGTCTAAGGAACTAAAAGATGGAGTAGCTATTTTTGACATGGAGAGGTCAGTAGTAGTAGTAGTCGTGAGTGCTGGTGGTGGTAGTGAATGGGGAGAGAGAGGAGGAGATCCAAAAGAGACGGTGCCATGGATTGAACTGCCCCCCTCCCCCAAATCCATATGTTGAAGCCCTAACCCCAATGTGATGGTATTCAGAGATGGGGCTTTGGCGAGGTTTAGATAGATGAGTCTTGAGAATGGGATCCCTCTTCCTCCCTCTCTCTCCTCCATGAGAGGACACAACAAGATGGCAGCTCTCTGAGAGTCAGCAGGAGCACTCTTACCAGAAACCAACCATGCTGGCACTCTGATCTCAGACTTCTAGCCTCCCGAATTGAGAGAAAGGAATGCCTGTTGTTAAGTCTAGGTAAGCGTAACCCTAGACTGCAGTATTCTGTAATAGCAGCCTGACTAGATGAAGACAGAGAGGATTCCAGAAAGGAGTTCAAGAAGGAGGGAGGAATCAACTGTGTCAATGCCACGAAATGCGTGAGTAATGGAGGACCGAGAACTGACAAGTATATTGAGCAACATGGAAGCCAGCGGTGAGTGTGATCAGAGCTAGTCTCAGAAAGTGGTAAAAACAAGCTTCAGTGGAACCGGTTTAAGAAAGACTGGGCAGGGGGTAGGAATGGAACCAAGGAGCACAGAAAGCATTTTTTCCTATAAATACACAAAAATGTCTCTGCATATTATAACAATTTGGTTTAATTAAAAATCATGACAATCTTCTGTTTATTACAACAAGCCCAGGGCTGTACATGTGGGCATCTGAGCATCACTGTTTTTCTTTTTTTTTTAATTTGGATATAAATATAAAATTCCAAATGACACAAATCAATAAGCATTTAGTGGTCAGGCAATAAAACCGCTATTTCCTACCAAGGGCAAATTTGCACAAGTGTGAATTTCACCATGGAAATTTAGAATACATTCTAAAAATGTTTTCAATGAAAACCAGAAAAGTTTCTACCCACAATCATTATTATCCTACTTTTTCAGGAATTATGACCACAAATTGAAGAGTATTTTTCTAAAAGGGATTTTCCAGAAACAAACAACACATTTTGAAACCAGAATATCTTTCCAGTTGGGATCCTAAGACCTAGCAATACTAAACACACTCCCCACATGCAGAAACTGGCAAGAAATCAAAAGTTCCCACTGAAAACTATACTAGCCTCTACTAACAGACAAAGATGTGACATGTCTTGTGGTTTTAAAGGAACTGTGGTTTCAAAGACTTCTATATAATACCTCTTTTTTGTAATCATCCCAATTCAGTTCTCTGCCCATCAGTTCAACGATCCTGGGGAGGGCTTCCTCTGCCGCCTGGACATTTAAGAATGCCAGGCGAGTGCGCCGTGAAATCATATCCACTGCTGTACAGGCATACTCCTTAATCCCATATTTCACCTGAGTTGAAATTAAAGCAAAATTATCAGTGTGGGCTTTATCTTTAAAAGAAGAAATAAAATTTCACTTAAAAATAATTCACACTCAGGGGAAAGTGACATTGCTCTTTATATACCCTGATCCTCTAAGAGGCATGACACAAATAAGGACATCATACAAGCTCCCCATCCACCTGCTGAAGGAGGTTTGTAAACTGGGACAAAATGGAAAAAAGCTGACGCCTTCTTCCTGAACTGACCCTGGCACAAACATGCAAACTGCATTGCTTCCCATTTACCACCCACAGTACTTACTTACCTCTTTGCTTATACATCATATGGATGTTAATTTACATAGCCATGTAGGCAAAGAACAAGTATTAAAACTTATAGTTTCAGGGCACCTGGGTGGCTCAGTGGGTTAAAGCCTCTGCCTTCGGCTCAGGTCAGGATCCCAGGGTCCTGGGATCGAGCCCCACATCAGGCTCTCTGCTCAACAGGGAGCCTGCTTCCTCCTCTCTCTGCCTGCCTCTCTGCCTACTTGTGATCTCTGTCTGTCAAATAAATAAATAAATAATCTTAAAAAAAAAAAGTATGGTTTCATCTCTTTAGGCTGTCCAGAGTTTTCTGTCTATGAGTATCAAGAGGACAGAAGGCTTGTGGTTAACCAACAAACAAATGCTCACTGGACCCTCGTCCTTTAAAGTACAATGAATCATAAATAAATATAAAGCCTGGTCTCTGGTTTCACAAAATGTAGAAACTCGATGAGAAATAAAGCTTCAGTCCTTGGGAAGTTAAGTGCAAACCAAGGTATGTCAACAGCCAGCGAGTGAGTATAAACTCGAGGAGTTACAAATTTACAAAAGAGGCAAACAACTGTGAAGTCACAAGACTTGGGGTAGCTCTGCAGAAGAGGAAGAAATACATCCTTTCTATTAAGATCATTTCCACTGTCCATATCACTTCAGATTTAACCTGTAAGTTTATAAATGAAGGGATCTGGGCAGGGCAGACATTTTCCTGAAGGCTTTGGCTGGCAAATGGGCATTAATTTTTCAGTAGGTGACCAACATCTCATGGCAGACAAGAGATTCCCACGTAACCACTCACATACCTCTGCTTCAATGTATGGAAATTCTGACACAAGACGCACGCCAACGATGGGCCACCTTTTTCCAGTTACGCTTGCCATCTTGGCCACCTCAAAAGCCTTGTCACCATAGGTAGCGGCGAGATGCTGTGCCACCTAGGGAAACCAGACAGCATTAGGCAGGTACTTTGAAGAGCAATACCTTCTAGGCATGAAGCAAAAAAAAAAAAAAAAAAGTACACGCTTATCCTGTCAGTTCTTCACGGCCCGTAACTAGTAGTTCCAGGAGGGTATTAGATTTTGATTTTGTGGGAGGAAACCACTTGGGCTCTGAGTGCTTAGGCCAGCACTAACTCTGCCACACATGTATCACTGTATCAGTGACTGATGAAGCTTCGGCTTGACTCTGCCCCCAATGTCACTTCTGAAGAACAGCCTTCCGTACACTTGAGACAGAAAGAATGTGGGATGATGCTCTGTCTGCGGAGAACAAACCAAACCCACCCCAGACTTTAAAATAGAAACTAGCGTGTGCCTTGCTTTTTAGGCAACCGAAGAAAAGTATGATCAGCTTTTTTCCTTAGTTCACTTCCACAGCACGCAGACAGAAAAGAACCCGGCAAAAGGAAATTCTAAATCAGGGAGGCCTCCTGGTTGCCAATTCTGTTTGTGGCAGTAGTGAGATGAGGTGGAGAAAAAGATGATTCACACTCACCTCACTTTCAAGCCCATAATCCTGGACAAGCCTAATGTACAGCGTGGGGCTCCAATCTTTGCCCCCTTGAAGGAAAAGCCCAACTGTTCTGCTTGGTCCTGCTTTAAAATTGTGAGCTTTGATAGCAGCATTTATGGTATCTTCTGCCATAGATCGATACGTTGTCCACTTTCCACCTACAAATAATTTGATAAATAATTCATTAGGTTACCACCCCCTATTTTTCTTATAATGACCCATTTGCTAACTGATTCATAACAAAATTCACCTGTTGTTTATAACAAATACAGCAAAGCGATGTGTAAGACCTTACTCAGAATCATCAAAAAAAATTCTCTGTTCATTAGCATCAAGAGAGATTCTGGTGTGACACTTTGACTCAGGGTCCTATCTAAAACACACCCAAAACACAAGGTAATATGCCATACCTGCTATAGTGATGAGGCCACTCTCACTGATGTCCACGACATGATTTCGGGAAATGGACTGAGTATCTGCAGACTTGGGATCTGTCACAAGGGGACGGATACCACTCCACGCTGCCAGGACGTCCCCTCTTCTCACTGGCAAGAATCAATGGGAAGGCTTAAGAGGATGCCTTCAAGATATTTCAACAAAACTCTGAGATAGTTAATAAACAGGAGACAATTCAGTAAAAGGAGCACATGAATATGGGCTTTGAAAGAGAGAAGGAACCCTTAAATATAACAACTAAGTGAGTCGATAAGTACAACAAAAACTCAAAGAATTACTTTTTTACAAGATAATCTGAACCAAAAAAAAAAAAAAAGCAAATAACCTGAACATCACTGACATTGATTCCTACCAAAAGAGGAAACAAAAAAAACACGTTAGCAATCCTCAGCTGGAAGGATCTAGAATAGCTGAAAGAAACAACGACAGCACAAAGACAAACCTCGAGATTTGTGGACTTGTTACATTTCCTCCCAGAATATACCTACCTCTCTCTTCTCAGGAAAGACAAAGATCCTTACTAAACAAACAAGCCTGTAACAGGGTATCTTCTTCCCTCATCAATGCTACCATTTTACTGAGCACTTATATTAGGCCTAGGCTTGTCAAAGCACTGGATTTACACATTTCATCTCATTTAATCTTACAGAGACCCACAGCATCAGTCATTATTATTCTCACCATAAAAAAGAGAAGGGGGGAAAAAAAAAGCCTGAAAAAGTTTAACCATTTAGCCCAAAGCAAACATCTTACAGATGCTAGAAGAGCATAAGAACCCAGTTCTTCCTTATAATAAAGTTCATATTCTTACTCACTAATGTACTGTCTTTCAACTCTTGACAATCTGTTCTCCTCCCCTTATCCCATTATCCTTGTAACTGGCTCAAAAATAGGTATACCGGCTCCTCCCAGTTTAGGCGCACCATATTTCTGTTACAGTGTATGAAAGGTCTTTGAATATTCAACATCCCATGAAATTTCTCTTATACTCTGTCAGAATACAATTACCTTGTTTTACCAAGAATTGATAGACTTTAAATAGAATTGGACACTGTTGCATAGCACCCATTACTGGCCTAAAAATGGCTAAGGAGAGTAGCCTAGTTGTGGCTCTGGTGTACCATGAGTGGCAAGGGCAATACCCAAGGGCAGAGTTTTCAGAATCTACTCTTCCTTATCCAGATCAGGTATAGGAATGGCTTAGCTCTTTTCTTCTCCATTCTTCACATCAAGGAGCTGATCACATGTACCAACCCAAGACTTGCCAAATGATGTAGATGATTAGAAGGTGAATGCTTCCCTGGTCCTGCTGCATTTACTCTCACAGACCAGTTAATTTAACCTTGGATAATGGAACAGTAAGTCCAGGTTTGCTCTGACCATGACTTGGGATCAGGTGCTTACCTCCTTCATCTTATTCCCAGCCATGACCTTCACTGATGAAAAGGTCACTGTCTTTAAAACATCAAAACGATGGGAAAATTGGATATCCCCGTGCAGAGGGATAAGCTCAAAGTAGATCAAAGACCTACACATAAAAGCTCAAACTATAGAACATTTAGGGAAAACAATAGGAAAATCTACATGACATTGGGTTTGACAATGATTTCTCGTATATGATACCAAAGGCATAGGCTAATAAAGAAAAAAAAGATAAAACGGACTTCTCAAAATTAAAAATTTCTGTGCATTCAGAGACATTATCAACAGAATGAAAAAGCAACCCATATAGCAGGAAAAAATATTTGTAAATTATATCTCTGACAAGAAGTTAGTATCCAGAATATGTAAGAACTCTTAAAACTCAATAACTAAAAAAAAAAAAAAAACTGACTGAAAAAAATGGACAAAGACTTTTAAAAGATATTTCTCCAGAAAAGATATACAAATGGCCAATAAGCACATAAAATATTGCTCAATATCACTAACAGTTAGAAAAATGCAAATGAAAAACCCAATGAGATACACCTTCATATCCATTAGGATGACTATTACAAAAAACTTAAAAAAAAAAAACAACACAGAGAAAAACAAACTTTGGTGAGGATGTGGAGAAATTGGGATAGCCTTATGCACTAATGATGGGAAAGTAGTATGATGTGACCACTATGGGTAAGTGTATGGCAGTTCCTCAAAAATTCAACATAGAATGACTATATTATTTAACAATAACAATTCTGGGTACATACACACCCCAAAGAACTGAAAACCAAAAAATTTGTACACTCCCATGTTCATAGCAGGATCATTCATAACAGTCAAAATATGGAAATAACCCAAGCGACCACCAATAGATGAATGGCTAAACAACACGTGGTCTATACACACAATGGAATATTATTCAGGTTTGAAAAGTAAGGGAATTCTGTCACATGTTACCTTGAAGACATTATGCTAAGTAAAATAAATCACTCACAAAAGGACGAATACTGTATGGTTCCATTTATATGAAATACCTAGAGTAGTTAAATTCGTAGCAACAGTAAGCAGAATGGTGATTGCCGGGGGAAGGGAGTTGTGTATATGAGGTCAATGTTTAAAGGGTACAGAGTTGAGGAGAATAAAAAAGATCTGGAGATGGATAGTGGCAATGGTTGCACAAAAATGTGAATATATTTAATGCCACAGAACTGTACGCTTAAAAATGGTTAAAAAGATAAAAAGATAGGGGCGCCTGGGTGGCTCAGTGGGTTAAAGCCTCTGCCTTCGGCTCAGGTCAGGATCCCAGGGTCCTGGGATCAAGCCCCACACTGGGCTCTCTGCTTAGCGGGGAGCCAGCTTCCTCCTCTCTCTCTGCCTGCCTCTCTGCCTGCTTGTGATCTCTGTCTGTCAAATAAATAAATAAAGTCTTTAAAATTAATAAAAAAAGATAAAAAGATAAATTATTTTTTAAATCAAGACAAAAGGAAAATTTGACATATTTCAAGTCTCAAGATTAAGGAAAATATTTTACATGTAATACATAAATATCAGGACACTTACCAGCCCATACCATGCCCAAACTTCGTTCAAATCAAAGTATGTCATTCATGAGAGCACAGTTTTGTGAGCAGAGGACAATATGGATTTCAGATCCCACTCAGTCCTTGGGAACATGCCCTTGTACAGTGAACCTCCTGTGTTTATACATGGCACCACCTGAAAAGCATCTCGAAAATATCTAGTAGACTATATGGAAAGAGTCACAAAGAGTCTTTGAAATGACTGGAATAGTCCAAAAAAATGTTTTTAAAAGATGTCTAACCGTCATGAGAGACTATGGACTCTGAAAAACAATCTGAGGGTTTTGAAGGGGCGGGGGGGTGGGAGGTTGGGGGAACCAGGTGGTGGGTATTAGAGAGGGCACGGATTGCATGGAGCACTGGGTGTGGTGCAAAAACAGTGAATACTGTTACGCTGAAAAGAAATAAAAAATTAAAAAAAAAAAAAGATGTCTAACCAAGTACAGGGGAAAGACCCTAAAAACAAATTGTACTGAATGACAGATAATCCTTCTACCTTGACCTCAAATGGAAAAAAAAAAAAAAAAGAGATTTCTGGTGAAGATAAATTCACCTAAGGAAAGTGTGGCAGATTTTAATATACCTCCTTGAGGGCCACACTCTTAATGTGACACATGTCTGCAGTGGTGTATAATCAAATCTCTATCGAAATACCTCATCAGAAGCAAAGGAAGAAGAAACATCATAAGCTGGTGCACAAAAACGAAGGCTTCCAGTCTTGTTAGCTGGAGACCTAAGGGAGTCTTGATACTGAGGTTCCATTTCTCAATCTGCCCTTCTGATATGTGTATTCTCTCAATTAGGCTTATCCTGATGGCTTCCATGGAATGAGGGTTAATTCTTGCGTAATGCAATTCCACAAGTCTTGGGAAACGTCCACACAAATCATGCAATGTTTTAATCTTTACAAAAAACCTAACTAGGAAATTACCACTATTTTCCATTAGAGTTCAAATAGCCCTCTGAGTCAAAAATAAAACTTAACCAACCACATAGAACGTCATTGTGGTCACCACAGTCTGCAGAGCGTGTCTGTGAAATTCCTTAGACGGCCACACTGATCAGGAATTTGACTTCAACTCTTAAAGCCTTCTGACTGATTTTAAAATTATTTAATGGAAAATTAGACTATCTAGAGTAAATCTGAAGCATAGGCAAAGAGTGTTTGTGGCAAATGCTTTACCTTCTCTGGTATAACAGGCAGAAAAACACATTCGCAAAATTGTGTTGTTTAAAACAAGAAGACCAAACTAAAATATCCGAGGTTTCCCTTCTAGAGAAATATTAAATAAAACATTATGTATACTGATCCCATTTTTAATTCTGACTCTTGAAGTTGATACTGAAAAAAAGAAAACACTACCAAGAAGAGTTTATAATGTGTTAGGCACCTTAATTTATTTTCTATTTTAGCATTTAGCTCTTTAACCCCAGAATTATAGCAGATGAATGTTGGGATTAAATTTATCTAAAAAGATACATGTCAGGAAAATCAAATTTTAAGTCATATTTAAAATATGAATCAGTCTTTATGGTCTGCAGGATTTTTACATTATTAGACCAGAGGGTGGTTGGATCAGGTTATCTACCCATTCTCCCAACCTTCAGATTTAATGATTTTTGTGGATTATTCAAAATGCTGAGGGATTCCTGCTGAGGGATAATGTGCTTGTACCTCTCTTCCAATGGAATTAAGTCATGACCGGTCAGGGCCACAGGCATAACCTATGTCCATAGAGCAAAGCAGAGCTAAGCTCTGCTTAGAATTCATAAAACATGAATTCTAACCTCTCACATAAAAGATGGCAACTAACTGAACTAACATGTTTCGCTCCTTATCACCTACTCACCCACAGTGGAAACCTTGCACACTGTTATACAAACCCTAATTAAAGTTCTTTGGAGAAAGAGATTCAAAAGCAGTATACAGAAGAGAGAATCGTTAAGCTATCTTTTAATTCTGCCTGAAACAGCTGCAGCTGCATTGGCTGGAAACCACCCCAGGATGAAGCCAACTTGGAGGGTGACAGAGTGAGGAGAAATAAGGACCATGTACCTTAGACATTGCAGAAGCACTGAATTTCTCA